GGCGCGGGGCCCAGGCCGCACCGTCCCGGTCCGGGCTCATCGATGCCCCAGGCCCTGGCATGTCCTTATCACCATTTTCTTTTCTTTGCACAGAGAGACAGACAGAGACAGACAGACAGACAGCCGCAGTGCACACGGGCCGTGTGTAGGCGAGGACGCCGGGAGACTCACCGCAGCAACGCTACGTGAATGCGGAGGGCTGGAGGTGGTGTGACTACTCACTTGCTCGGCTAACAGCTGCCGGTTTTGGATGGAATTATTCCGCAACAACAAGAAAGCGTCGGTTAAACGCCTGGTGGCCATGTCTCACCCTTTGTGACCCCCCTGTCAGGGGCCCCCCCCACCACCGAGAAGCCTTATGGAGTCAGTGTCTTTCTCGGGCCCGGGCCTGGACGGCCCACCCTGCACGGAAGCCTGTCCCGACAAGGCCTCTGGCCCCCAGCCACACAGGCGCAGCTCTGCGCTTGGCCGAGGCGCAGAGACCCCTCCTCAAATAACCACCTAGGCTTTCCAATTGTCTCACTCCCCCTACCCAGGCCGGGCTTCGATCTCCAAGCACTTCAATGCCCCCAATCCTTGCGGAGCGAGCCAACGTCCCAGCACCCCCACCCCAATCCAACCTTGGATCTACAAGCGTCTAACTCGCCAATCCGGCTCTGGACGGCTAGACCCTGAAGCCCCCTACTCTCCTCAGTCACTCAGACCTCCGACGGTCTTTTTACCCGACCCTCAACTTGGCTCAGAAGCGTCTAGGCCGAGCCCTCAGGCCTGCCCCTGACTCAGTTTCCCTACCAGAGGCCTGGCCTAGGTCCCCCCTTGGCTACCCCGAGCCAAGCCTGGGCCCTGCACCGCAGGGCGCCTGCTGCTCCCTTCTGGGGCCTGCTCTGAGCCTGCTAAGGCCGGGGCCCGACCTCCTGACCCCTTCCCCCTGCCTGGGCGGCCTAGTCCTCCACTGCCAGCAGGCTGCCGGACTCCTCTTCTCCGGCTCGCTCCATTCCCCGGATCTCACTGCAGCTCAGCCCCGGGCCGTTTCCGTGCTATGGTCCCGGGTTCTGGCGTTCCCCCCGGCCCTCTTCCTGTCCGTCTCTCGAGAGTGCCCCCCTGCGACGTTCACAAGCCTTGCGCACAAAGTTCCGGGCGCGGGAGCTCCCTGCCCCCCCCCCTTGCCCCCGGGCGCGGGAGCGCTCCGCCCTCTCCAGGGGTGCTCCGGGGGCGCCCAATTTCCCTTTCCCCAACTGGGCCCAGAGACAGCGGCGGGCGAGCGCACAGGCCCGAGCTTCCGGCGGGTGGGCCCCACGATGCCAATGCCTGCCCGAGGCCTGGGCGCCTTTAGTTAGAGTGGAAGTTGCGCGGCAGGCAAATGTGGGCTCGAACAGGGCTGGAGTCAGCCGGGCACGCGGGCTGGGAGTGAGAAAGTTGGAGACGATCGCCTCTGGAGGCCAAGCACGCGCCACTGCAGGCGCTCGCTCGCTTTTTTTTTTTTTTTTCTTCTCTGCAAAAAGACTTTCTCGAAAACAACAAGGGAAAAAAAAAGCCAGCCCGAGGCTCACGCGGGCCCGGGCCTCCGCGCGCCGCCCCCGCTGGGGGTCGCCGGGTGCCCCAGCCGCCATCTTCTATAGGGGGCACTGCAGGGTTGTGGAATCTGAAGTGGCAAAGTTCCCCGAAAACTTTGACCACCACCCCACCCCAGCCCACCCCGCCCCCGAAAAATAAACTTTTCTCCCGAGTAGGCCCGCGCGCGCCTGCGAACCGGGGCCAGGGCTGGAGACCCAGCGCCGCTGCCCGCCGAGGTCCGCGCGCTCTCTTTCCCCGGGACCAGCCGTGCGCTCCCCGAGACCGCGCGGAGACTTCGGGGTCGGGCAGGGGTCGGCGGAGCGAGACCCGCGAGCCGGAACCCGAGCCAGTGCGGCCAGGGCCGGCGCCGGCGCCGACGCGGGCCGCTTGGGGTCGCGGAGCGAGCGGCCGCGCCTCCCGGGCCTGGCGCCTGGGCTGCGGCGACTTCCCTTCCCAGGTGAGCTGGGGCCGGAGCGAGGGTCTGCAAAAGGGGGATCGTCCCGAAGCATCTGGAAGCGGGCCCCATTCACACACATGTTTCTGTAATAAACTTTACACAAACGCACATAGATGTTTTCCGAACGTTTCCCGAGTGCTAAGGGCAGACCTTGCAAAGACAAAAGAAAATGAAACCCGAAGCTCGCGTCCGCAGCAACAAAGGGCTCCCGGGCCGGCCTGGGAGGCGGAGGCGATCCGACACCCGGGGCACGCGGGGTCCCCCAGGGAGCTTGACCGTAATCGTTGAAGACCTAAGGCGTTTTGCACCCTAAAGGAGAGTGTTTCTGTGCACTAGTAACTCAATTTATAGAGATCTTTGGGGCAAATACCAAAATGCATACAGAAAGAACATAGAACCAGGGAGCAGGGCGAGTTCGTTCGAGGAAGGGGCCGTGGTTTCCCGAGCCGAGGAGTGGGAGAGACGAGCGCGGGGAGACTTTCCCGGCCGTGGAAAATGCTCGGGCGACACAAAACCAACGTCGCCGAGGTCGCTGCAGACAGCAGGAAGCTGCCGTTCCGAGCACGGCTGCAGGCAGAGAGAAAGCGGTCTTTGTAAAGGCAGAGACCCCGGCTTCTCCGCGGAGGGGAGCCAGGGTGTGCATGCCGGGCAGAGCACGGCACCCCAAGAAACACGTGATGAAGGAGGAGAGTTCTGTCCCCCCTGGGCACCCGATTCTCCCGGGGGGTCTGACCCCAGTTTCACCGTCAAGCCCCCTGCTCTCTCTCCCTGCAGGAGGCAGATATCTGTAAAGAGCAGCTGAGGGGGGCTTGGGTGGGAACAGCGGATTAGCACTGTGGCCTGCACCCCGCGCCTTTCTCTGGATCACCCCACACCTGGCTAAGCAGTGCCTCGTTCCTCCGGGCCCTCTCCCCCGGGCTAGAGCGCAGCAGTCATCGTGGTTTATTCATCTTTGTACCCACTGCCTTCTCGTCTGGCTTGGAGCAGGCTCGGGATAAATGTTTGTTAAATACCTGTATGAATGAATTAAAGACCAGAGATTTCCCCAAACTATCTGACCTCCCTGGAATGACTTTGAGCCTTAGAGCCCTGATCTGTAGAGTGTGTGTATGTGGGGGGGAAATGTGGGGTTTTCATAATCCTTGTAATCCACGCCCTGCCTGCCTCTCTGGGGCTGTTGGGAAGATCAGACGAGATAAGTGAGAAGGCTTTGGAAACTCAGGTGCAGACCACATACCCTGTAGCATGGTTATTCATTCATGCCCTTCGCTCGGAAAGCTTAACAAAGTAATTCCTGGGCTTGTGTTTCAGCAGATGGTGGTCGCCCTTCCTGGTCAGTCTTAAATATTTATCGCGGGACAATCTCCCTCTTACATTTAGGAAATCAATCAAGCTTTGCGAGACATGAGCAGCGCTTGTAGACATAAATAATGGAAGAAAAATCCTCATATTCTCCAAACAGCTACCTCAAGCAACCCAAGAGCCCAGCGGCAGAGAAACCAGGAAGAGTCTCGGATTGGCATAGCAACCCAAAGGCAGCATCGCAGCGGGGGCTCGGCAGAGGCCAGGCAGGGGATGGCGTGCACGCAGTTTGTTGTTGTCATGTGCCGTGAAAAGAAGGGTCTGTGCACACTGACAGTGATTGTGCAATACACACCCGATCCACGTTGCAAAAGACACAGGGAAGGATGTAAATCATTGTATGTGAAAGCTCCTTGGCTGTTTTATTTTCCTGTCAAGTGGTTTAAGCCTGATTTTTTTTTTTTTTTTTTTTAAGCATTCTTTTATGGCCAAGTATGTGTTTCCTTGGAATTGAAATCTCAGTTGATGGTTTTGTATTTTAAAAGCTTTTATTGCGGCTCATTCTTGGCCTGGGAGAGGATTCTGTAATACTCCCCAAGCTGAAAGAGCCTTGGTGTCGTGTCCTATGTCTTGGGCTTTGTACCCAATTTCTAACATTTTGCTGATGGATCTGAGAAGTCACTTTTGGGGACATATGTTCCATTCTTGTCATCTTAATCCGTGCTGAAGGTAGCCATAACCCTGGGTTTCCTGGCTAAAGGCAGACAACAGCAGGGTGAGCCGCAGGCTTTCAGGTGGTGACAGGTTAGTGGTAGGACAAAACGGGCCAGGAGGGCTAGTCTTACACCTTTGCCGCAGGAGTTTACAGGACTTGGGGTGCGGGAAGCCCCTGTACAGGCCCAGCACATAGTAAGCGCTCCCTGCCCGGGTGGTGGGGTTCACACACACTGTGGTCTTGCTGACAGAAAGTTCACATAAGTTCTACCCCCTCTGAAAGACATCACCGCAAACTCCAAAGAAAAGGGAGGGCTTGGCGGTGGGAACTGGACACTCTCCAGGCACACTTTCCTGATCCTTGTTCTGTGGTTTGGAATTCTATCGGTACACTGTAATGTACTACAATGTTTTTTGGTCTTAAGTAGACACTTTTTAAAACTTTGGGCCCCAGGGTAATGCAAACGGTTAATGCGCTCGGCTGCTGACCAAAACGTTGCAGGTTCGTGTCCACCCAGAGGCAGCTTGGAAGAAAGTTCTGGTGATGTGCTTCTGAAAATCAGCCCCTGAGAACCCCCCCAGCACGGCTCTGCTTTGACACCCATAGGGTTGCCATGAGTTAAAACTGACTTTGCGGCAGTGGGTTTTGGGTTTAACTCTGGACTTTCTAGCTGGGTGGTCACTCTTTTGTCAAGATGAATAGCAAAACTTCCCAAGGCAAAAAAAAGAAAAAAGTCCCCTTTCCACAGATCCGACATACTAGACAAGCTCTGGCCAGATTCAGGAAACAGCAACTTGGTGTTCTGTCTCCCCCAATAGCTCCTGGAGCCGTTGAGTGTTTCCAACCTCAGAAAATCCCCAGCTAGCTTGCTCTCAGCCACAACGCCTTTCCCAGGCAGACACCCGGAGGGAGGCCACAGCTCCGTGTTTGCCAGACTCCATTATCTTCTGATACCAGACAATTCAATTCAGTCGACATGTCTACAAATTGAGCTACGGCTGTGCCAGCTCTAGCCAGGCACCAGTGAAAGACAAGAAACGTCACGCACCCCTGGCCGTCCAGGAATTTGCAGTCTCTACTAGCTCACCCCAGTTCTGGTTCTCATCATGTGGGTTTCAGCAGCAGCCTGGGAACAGCCGCCGTCTCCTCCCCTCCCCCATCCGTCCTCTACCCTGCAGCCACAGTGACCTCTCCAAAACACACGTCTGACCATGTCCCTGCCTGCTCCAGAGACCCCGAATGGCTCCCTCTGCTCCAAACCAGCGGTTCTCACAC